AATCCGTAGCAAACACAAACGAAAATGCTTATTTGATGCCATTTCCGATCGATTTAGCAAAAAAAAGGAGAAAATGTTAATAAAACAATCTTCGAAAGTTCAAAAAATGGTGAGAAAACCTTGAAAAAACTGGAAAATTAAACTACGTGCACACAATGAATATCACACAAACGAAAAAAACGTTATTCTCAAGCAAAAACTGACCATTTTAGGCGATGCACGTCCACTTTTAAACCCATGGGGTCCTATATACTGTGATACTAGAACTGCGAGAAAATGAAAAAAAAAGCGAAAAAAATAAAGTTCCAATTTCGTTCAAAAAATAAAAAATGTCCGTTTTGACGAAATCGTAGTTAGCGAACGCCCGTAGTACTCAGCCACTCGGGAGGTCAGATGGATTGTGAAGACCCCAAGGAATGGTTCCCTCCACGAGCATCATTTATTTTACTCATTTCTGCAGTCTTGTCGTAGCCTGAGTTTTAAATGCAAAATGCACTGGGCCACCAACCGCGGTTTTGCCAAAGGCCACGTGCGGGACTTGGAGTGGGGTATGCCAAAAAGTTTGGAAGTTTGATCTAGCACTGGCAGATTGGAGGGCTGAAGTTTTTCATGCAGCAAGTGAAGAGGGCCAGGGTCTAGAACACCCTGGAAAGGGGGTAAGGGAGGGCCAGCCGGTAGTACCAGCTGAAACTGTCCGTGATTTGGGCCAGATTCCCCAGGCCGAATAGGGTGGCTGTTGGAAAAACAGATGGACTGCCCTGGTCCCTCGTGCCTGGGCCACTGTGATACTAAGCCAAGTTCCATACTGTACAGTTCCGCGTAGTATCCTTCGTTCGGGTTAAGCCCTGAAGTAAGCCGTGAGAACAGATCTAGTGAAGATGGATTAGAGGAGCTTGGATCTTGGTGTTTTTTTTATTTTTTTTTTGTTTTTTTTTTTAATGAAAACAACCCGAGTATGATGCTAGGGATGCTGCTAAGAGCAGACACCACTAGCATGCTCGGGGAGGCTCCATCTATTGGTGGGGAGCAGCACCTGCTGGAAACCGGGTCCAGCGTCCCTCGACATGTAAAATAGTTGTTGTTAGAGACATTTGAAGTCATATAAGCTTACCACGTGTCGGTCGTCAGAATAGTCATCGAAAGCGACCACACACAAGTACAGTAAGCGACTGACGGGCAGCATTGATTGCCCTCATCTGAGGGGATTAACTGCCCATCATGATTGAAAATCATAGCCAAGATTATATCCGTACTCTGAGCTCCTCATTGTTGACCACGTAAATCCTCACCATACCATGAGGAGGAAAGGCGATCAGCAGTAGGGAGGATGACAGACCAATCGACCCAACTGCCCTTCGAAACGGTAGATATATGCCCTCCCTGAAAGCTTATGAAGCAAAAGAAGGGGTGATCAGAGAAGGCAAAAATGCATGCAAAATCTTTCTCGAAAAAAAAATCGTCAAAAAAAAGGGGGTAGAAACATCCAAGCGCAAACAGCCACGTGTCAAAACACAACAAGCCACATAGGCAACCGTACGCCTATTCCTGATACAAGTTCATCACTGCGCCATCTACACTGCCATCTCCTAAAGAGCCGCACAAGGTAAAGGCTT